AATTAAAATTGTAGTTAAATTGAATGAATTCTAACCTAAATTTCTTTTAAATAATACTACACGCATTAAAAAGAATCCAAAAATAACACCTATAGTAAAATAAAATTAATATGAAATACCATAACATGTAAGCTTTTGAATGACCCATGTCCTCAGTACTTACATGTGAAATATTATAATAATAGGTTTATATATAAAAGAAAAGTTTACTGAATCAGTGAAATTAAGTAACCATTTCTGCTGTCATAGTCATATAAAAAAAAAAAAAAAAAAAAAAAAAAAAAAATGTAACCTCATATACATACTTAAACTTAATGTTAAAATAATCCTACATAATATAATGGATTCTAATACATTTAACTGTTCTTAAAAAAGAATATAGTAAAATAAAATTAAAAAGGAAAATATTTCAAATCGTAGTTAAATAAAAAGTATTGTAAAAAAAATCTTTAATTTTAAAAGATGACGTTGAAAATTTTTACCGTTAACAATTTTTTTTTTTTTTTTTTTTTTTTAATTAAGACGACATCCATTCAACCGACGTCAGGTTTCAGTGTAAAATACATCCTCACCCCTTACCAAAATGTAACTAATAACTGATACAATGATACTGTCATAAGGAAAATCTAGACACCCCGTGTTCAATTTGAGTAGAATATTCTGTAACCATGGAAACGTGATTTTAGCTGTGTATTTAAAACCCGGTAAATTTTAAAAGTTACTCCAAAATTCGCTTGAAGATGAAATAGAACTAATGCTTTTAATTTATTTGCAAAAATAAAATTAGGGTTTTTAGCTTCTATTTTTGAAACATGTCATCTGCCGATTCAGCGTTTGACCAATTTTCGGTCATAAATCGATTACAATCGAAGGTTCCAATTAATCAGTCTAAAAGCGCACATCAAGTGTCGAACGTTTCTGTTCGATTTAGTGAACAATCTTTAGTCGGCTTCACCAATTTGGGTCACTTAAGCTATATAAGACACGAGACGGCCAAGTCATCTTAAATGGCAAGCAGTCGCTCCAGAGACAGTTTAGACGAAGCAACAGAACGTAAATTGTCATTAAACGTTGATACCAGCATTGTGAACAAATGAAACGACAGTTTAACTTTAATTTTTTTTATACTAAAGAGAAATTAGCAGAAAGAAACCTTTGCAAAACCCGTGGTTGAAATGTTGTATGATATCAGATTATTCAAATATTTTTTCATACCATGTTTTTCAAGATGTAGGCGATCATGTCTCTCCACTGTTTCATTTTATTTATTATCTGGGAACTGCCATGATGTTTTGGGAAAGAGAGTGGAGTGGTCGCCTCCTCCACAGTTTTGAATTTCGAACGTTTCTTCGCTTTTGACTTGTTACCACACAACGCTTATGAAGTTGACGTGCTATTAAATCCATAGCTAGGAGAAAGAAGAAAAGACAGATAAATGTCTTTCTCAAGGGTAATAGTGTGAGAGTGAACGCAACAGTCTAGCCCAGAATTTGAACTCTGCACGCCCATTCCAATTTTCGTGTCGATAGGCGTTACACTACATGTATATTTTAAAGCTAACGTATCCATACGCGCACATCAGAAGCCGGAAAATAGTCGGGTTTGGCATTTTTAATTGAAAAAAGGAATGATTGTGTAGATTTATAGGGAATTTCCATAAAAAGGTGCTCATTGTGTCTCCATAGAGAGAGAGAGAGAGAGAGAGAGTAAGAGAGAGAGAGAGTGAGTAAGAGAGAGAGAGAGTGAGTAAGAGAGTGAGAGTGAGTAAGAGAGACAGAGAGTGAGTGATGAGCCCTTCTCACACTAGAGCCACAGCCTCACCACACTAGAGTTACTGTTGTGGTTTCCATAACAAGAAGTCTTTTTTTTTTTACGTGCCGGAGTTGCCAGATCCATGCCCGTCCGGTTTTGAATTCAGAGTTATCCTTCTTCGAGACTGGTTGCCAACCAAGTCTGGAGTGACCATTTTGCCCTGTTATTTAACCCATAAACTGGAGAGAGAGAGAGAGAGAGAGAGAGAGAGAGGAAATGGATTTGTACTTTTTCGAAAGTTATTTGAATGAACACTACGGCATCGTCTTGTATTTGAACCCAGCATGCCGATCTCACTTTACGCACGAAAAGCGCACTTACAAATAGACCCAATATTGACTTGTCTCTGTTAAAAGAGAGTTCCGACGAGAAGTCAACATATAGCCTTAAATGCTGTCGATTTTTTTGCATCCCCAGTGATTTTATTTTCCAGAAAATATGTGTTCTATACACCGTCAGATGCATTCATTTAGAAGATTGCTGACGGCTGCAACAGTTTGTAAATTAGTTTGTGAGTCATTGAACCACTAAGACAATTTCTAGATAAATCATACAGAAGTGAACAGTCCAATAGGCACACACACGGCATCATCATATATATATGATAGATAGATATTTATAATAATTTGTTCATATAGACAAAAACAATTTACTCACTACAAAGATGCAACTTCGTTTCAGTGCATTTATGTATTTTTTATTTTCTATTTTCTTTTCAAACAAATAGAAAAAAAGGAAGTGACGTTTCACATGCGGCTTCGTTACAAACATAATTCTTCATAACCATTTTGGTTCTCACCTGTCGAAGTGCAATTTTTAATGCACTGAAACGAAGTTGGATCTTTGTAGTAAGTAAATTGTTTTGGTCTATATGAAAAAATATAATAAATAATTATTGATCTACTATCTCGGTATTGATCCCTCTTTTGAATTAATGCTGTGAACGTTAGAATTTATATATTATTTTCGTTCTCATTATATTCGGATATAGTAGTTAGTTAGTTAGATATATAGATGGATAGATGAAAGGAGAATATAAAAATGATTTTAATTTAGACTATAGCCTGTCACGTTTGTTATATGCTAAATTCCTGGCCCCAAAAAACACTCGTGAAATATGACGAGTGAAGAGTTAGATTTCAACTGAAAATACATATTGGATGAAGGGGAGACAACAACAGGAAAAATATGAACAGATAGTAGTTTTTTAACCATTTCACTGCAAGCTAAGCAATAAGGGAGTTATAGGGAGTGAAAGAGAATGAGAAGACTTTACTGAGAAGTGAGGAAAAGGACAATAAAGGAAGATGATTCAAGAATACAGAAGATAGCAATTGACGTTGCATTTAATGTTTAATTTTTAATTTTTTGAATATTATAAGTGACAGAGAAGAAAGAATTTGGAAGGAAGTTCATCAGGCGAGAAGTGCGAGAAAAGAAACTATTAGAGTCGAACATACAGTTGCTTCTGACTAGTTCAGCAGTAAAACGGTGAGACCTAGTTTCCAATCTAGTAACACGCTTAAATTCATGTTGTCTAGGCACTAAAGAGAACAGAAAATATTTATGGAAAGACAGAATGAAGCCACATCACGGCGTGGAGAAAATGACTGATGTCAAGATGCAAAATTCAGATTACAGACCCTTCTCTGAATTTGTCACGAATCTCGAGATATATAGAAGGAGCACCAAACCAAATATGGAAGCAATTTTCAGTGAACGGACGAATAGTAGATTTATAAATGGGCAAGATGATAGATTAATATAAAGATAGTTTAGCGTAAAAATAGGAATCGGCATTTTTGAAAAGGGAGTTTTTTAATCTGAACTTATTTCTTATATGCTCTAAATGTTATTTTTAGTGGTTCACATGTGTTTAATCCAGTTCGAGAAGTCTGGATTTTTCTTTATTAGAACTTCAGGATTTAGGCCAGTGGTTATTCATTTAAAAAAAAAAACCAAAAAAAAAAACCCCCAAAAAACAGCCCCGAAAGAAAGGGATAGCAACTCATAACACGTATACTCACTAAAAATAACGTTTATCCATAGATAGATAGATAGGAAGGAAGGAATGAATGAAGGAACAGATTTCGATAGACAGATAATAAAGAGGCTAAGATAGATAGATAGATAGATAGATAGATAGATAGATAGATAGATAGATAGATAGATATTAAGGAAGGAACAGATTGCAAAAGATAAATAGATAAAGAAGAGACCAAAATAGATAGATAGATAGATATTAAAGAAACTAAGATAATAGACTAAGATAGATAATAAAGAGAATAAGATAGGTAGGTAGGCAATAAGGAATCTAAGAGGTTAAATAAGAAAGAGAATAAGATAGATAGCTAGCTAGCTAGCAAGCTAGATAGATAGATAATGAATAGATAGCAACTCACACACGTATACTCACATTTATCCATAAGATAGATAGATACATAAGATAGATAACATTTATCCATAGATAGATAGATACATAGATAGATAAGGAACAGATTGCGATAGACAGATAAAGAGGCCAAGATAGATAGATAGATAGATGCCCAAAACTGGAGCATTGCTGCTATATCTGGGCTACTTAATCCTCACTTTCCAACTTTCACGTTCAAAATCGTTTACGTGCTCTTGTGGGAATGGGAGCAGAACTATTCTCGATTCTGCAGCCTATTTCCAACAGAGACACCCTAGCAAGTCTATCCTTAATCTGTCGCTATTTCCATGACAAATCGTCAGGTGAATTTTTTTAGTTCCGCCAATTCACACTTTTACAGATAAGACACGCCCTGCTACTGCTACAAACTCGAATCCTCCTACCATTTTTTCACCCTAACTTGTAAGCACTTGGCTGTACGAAAAGCACCGACAGAACGAAATTTTCAATGAAGAATAATTTTATTCTTTTATATACCTACATTGACGTTTTTTTTGTTTTTTTTTAACGGTATATCGACCTCTGTGCGTTATTGAATGTCGAAATCTAAATATTTCGCAAGCAAATTTTTATTTTATCTTTTGAAGATAAAGTTGATTTAGTGATACTTTCTAATTAACCCATAGGTGGGGAGAAGTGGATTCATCCGTTTCCGAAGGATATTTGCACGTAAGTGACTATAACGAAATCGAGAGGAATTGGAACTCGGCACTCCAATGAAAAAAATATCTATTACACCACCCTCACCCCCAAGCTTACAGCACTTAGTATTCCCAAAGGGTTACTAATCTAGCTACTAACCAGGCTCAACGTCGCTTAACTTCGTAATCGTACGGGAACGAGTATTTCAACGTGATGTTGCCGTAAGTCGGAATCTTAAAGTAAACATCAGTTGAAGCAGTGTAAGAATTTAAATCAACCTATTAACCGCAGATCACAAGAATTTCTGTCATTGTACTTCTATAACTAAACGGCGATTGACGGAAATTTCTGCCTCAGATAATGGGTTAGATTTAAAGAAAGGAATCAATATTCGTCCCCACATTTTTCTTGGGAAATATAGTATGAAAATCATTCTGATTCTTTTTCTCATTAGCATTTCCCCCATTGTATTGTCTTTCGCAAAGACGCAAAATTGTAATCCCGTTGCTACTCTAACGCTATTTCCATGGCCAATGTTCAGATAAACTCCTTTCTTTAGCTCCACAAGTTCAGGCCTCTAAGGCTAGGACATGCCATGACACTTGCACGGAGTCGCATCATCCTCAATTTCTCCCCCGTATTCCACACGTAAGAAAGTTCCACTCAGAGTTTTCTCTAGTACTGCAACTTTCTGGATCAGACTCCCGCGTGAACTCTACAATCTTAGTCTCTTCAAGTCAAGGATCAATCATTATTTATCAGCCTTATCCATATATTCACTTTCACTTATATCACACACTTCATTCATCATCGCCATTTTAACAGTAACCGTCTGCCTTGATTGGTTCTCGAGCCTTGCATTTGGTCATTTTAATATAAAAAGATATATTGCAAATGAAACTAGGCTTTAGAGATAGAGGCGGATTATTTTCTCTTTTTTTTTTCAAGTTATTAACATTTTCTCAGCTTTTTGCCGTCTTGAAACTTTGCATTCAAAATCCAGACCTTTACTTGAAGCCCTTGCACCGCCAACCGCTCATATCGTTGGGAAATACGCAGCTATTTCACCCACGTGGCAGGAGATCTATAAATTCAACGCAAACTTTTCAGATTTGCAATTGCGGAGCGATTCGATAAGACGGAAACGTTTTGCGCTCTTTTTATTTCAGCGAATCAATAATCAGACGCTGTTTCTTTCCTGTGGAGAAAAAAAAAAGAAGAAAAAATATCTGTGTACAAATGCTAACAACGAAACTGAATCGCGAGACTCGCTGTTGGGAAAAATTCCCAAGTAGATAGTCTGGTTTATTATTACGATTTGGTAGTGAGTTAGATCTTCAAAGGTTGCCGTGTTGTCGCTTTGCAGAAAACTAAGTTAATCTTGATAAATAATATTCCTCATCGCCCCTTTTATAGAACTCAAAGCGAAAATGAACCAAAGCCCAATTCCTCAAGTCTATCCTTCCGTATTGCCCTAAAAACGATAGTTTCAGAGACTGGACAATATCTGGAACCACCATTATCTAAGCGTTGGTTTATATTTGTTTAGCGCGATATAAACCTCTATAAATTATTTAATGCCGAAAACTAAATATTTTGTACGCAATTTTATTTTACTTTTGGGGGGAAATAATAATGATTTTAGTGATACAACTCTTACTAATTAACCCATAGCTGGATACATAATGAGGAAAGAAGGCTTAGAAAATTGACACTCACTGGATATATTGAAGAGACAGAAGGAAACAGCAAGTAATCCACTTAACAAGCTTGTGTAGATGAATGGCAGAACAAGGGGTGGTATGGATGGTAAAAAGATCAACCTTACTAAGAGCTACAAATGATAGGAAGTAGTGGAGAGCTATGATCGATATGGTACATAGATGAAGAAAAGAGGACGACTATAGCCGAACATCCAGTCGGGATGGAAAATATTAGCTGTGGCTGCTTTATCAAGTGGCGGGTACATCTGCTTTATAATACAGCATTAAGAAATCTTGATTTTTTTTAGCTAAACAGACTATTAAAAATAGTACGAGGTCACACAAAAATCAGAATAAGAAATTAGAAAGATTTTGCTGCGCCAGTTTTCCAAGTGACGTGTATATCTGATTTGAAATTCACTCTGAGAATAACACGGACTGAACATGTGATCAAAGACGAAGTTTTAGAGAAAATGGAAACAAAAAGGACTTATATAATACACATCAGGAAGATACAGTTGAAATTTCTTGGTCACAAAGAGGGCTTGATAAATTTGATACACACAAGATAGATTGAATGCAATGCATAACCTACCTAGCGAGCTTGTGTAAATTCAGGAGAGATAACAAAAAGACAAAATTTATTAACAGCTACAAAGGACAGAAAATTGTGGAGAGCCATGATCGCCAACGTCCTGAATGGACACGGCACAAAGAAGAAGAATTTTTTGAGTTAATTATTAGTAGTAGAAAGGACGCATCTAGCCGATCCTCGAGGAAAGCTAAACATACAGATATATGGTGATTTTACAAGCGTAGCTTAGAGGTGACACAAGGCCGAAAGTATGGAGCATCCAGTGATAATCGAACTCACGACTCGGTCGTAATTGTTCTTGCTAACCATAACACTGTCTCGAGTTGCCCAAATATACAGATATATGTATTGATATGCTGCTGCGTTTCTGGTAGATATTTTTCAATATCGTCTAAGCTTAGATACACGTGGAAAATAACACAATTTACACAGCCTCGAGTAAAACTACACACATACAGCTACACATTGGTGAACCCATAACTTGATTTACATGAAAACATTAGATTTACCCAAAAGGGATTGGCCAAAAGCAGAAATATATTAAACATTGAAATACTGAATCAATTTAATTTTCAAATTTATTATAGTTTCTTTTTCTTTACCGATTTTTACGAAACCTCGCTCAGTACAGCCAAAGGTTAGATCGGGAAGAAAATGGAATTAGGAAGATTCCGTTGCGTCATTATCCCAAGTCGGAATGACCTGCTTCTCTACGAAATAAGAATTTGCATTTACCTATGCTCAAATTTTAACTTTGGCATTAGTGAGAAATATATACACGTTCAGAGAGCTTTTCATCAGCCTCACACATTTACAGAAAGTTCTCACGCCCGAATGTTGAAGGAATATGCTACTTTCTAATATTTTTCTCTTTGCAGATAATTGTTAGTAACTTGAAATGTTACCGCCCATAATGTTGCGCACAGAAGAAACTTCAACTACAAGAAAAAGGAAAATAAATTCTTTCATATTGCGTTAGAAATTAGAGATTATTGAAAAACTGGACGAAGCTGCTAATTCGTTGAATCTACAAATTAACAAAGAAGGATTGCAGAATCTAAACAAAACACTAAAACTTGCGCTTGTAGATGAGCCACTGAATACTCTGACTTCGGATGACTTAAAAGAGTGAATAAATGAAGACGCTAATATAATTATACAAGAATTCAACGGTAGAATCACTTCAAAATTATTTGGATAATCAAAATAGTCAAATTCTTCCGATAATTGTGAAAATATGAAAGATGATGAAAACTGAGACTGAGTAGAGAAAACTATTGATGAGGTCATCAAATTCATGGAGAAAAAATATTTGTTCAGTAGTACGGAATGTACAATGCACGTAATTTACAGAATGCCTTGTTTAAAAAAAAAGAAGAGGGAAAAGTCAGCGAAATGAGAAAAGAAATAAGAAATACAATTGAATATAAGACTTATTGAGAATTAAACATTGAAAATGAATATTTACTTTCGTGAGACTTCATTTTTTATGTGTTGCTATAAGTTCTTGTGTTTTGCTAAGTTATAATTATCTTACATATCCTACATTATATCCGAATTCGTCTTCAGATCTGAACTTCAGAGTAGTTCAGATATGAAAACTTCTACCATACATACATACATACATACATACATACATACATACATACATACATACATACATACATACATACATACATACATACACATACATACATACATACATACATACATACATACATACATACATACATACATACATACATACATACATACATACATACATACATACATACATACATACATGAGGCACGGTGGAGCAGTGGTTAGCGGCTTGGATTGAGGAATCGCAGAGCCGAGTTCAAATTCCAGTCGAATCCACTGCATTCACTTACGTGCTAATACCCTTGGGAAAGGTATGTATCCTCTTCATCTCCCTCCAGCTATGGCTAAAATAGCAGGACAGCCTTGGATGGCAACTGGTCTAGGAGAAGGACAACTCTGAATTCAAAACCTGCGGATGGTCGTTATGGCATGCATTCGGTGCACCAGGTTTCTGTATTCGTCCATCCAAAAAGTGTGGCTGGTCCTGCACAAGGCCTTCACCACTATAAACAAATCTCATGTGCCGGTGTCCGGATGTCGGTTTCCTGGGGACTCATCGGCCTGACCTTCATACGACGGGAGAGTCGATTATATGTGTGTGTGTGTACACAGAGTTATTCAAAAAGAAATAGCAGATTTCGAAAATTTAATAAAAACAAATACTAAAAGAGAGAAACACATTACTGGATAGTTCAAAGTTATCAAAAGAAATTAAAGTTTTTTTCCATCTTTTTTAAATGCTTCTGTTTTTTCAGAATTTGTATAAATTTAGATTGTTATATTTTGTGTGAGCTCTTAAAATGGCCACACCACAAGAAATTTCGTTTTGTAGACTGCAATTTGTGAAGTGAAACATTGAAATAATAAACTTTGACCCTTTTCATATCCAGTAATAATGTGTTGAATGTATTTCTGTCTCTAAGCATTTGTTTTTATCTAATTTTAGAAATCTGGAATAATCATACATACATACATACATACATACATACACACACACACACACACACACACACACACACACACATATATATATATATATATATATATATATATATATATATATATATATATATATAATAGCTTACATTAATTGCACAGCGCCTAGTTTCATCCTGAAGCAATTTTCAAGTGCAAAAATTATTACATTTATTTTTACAACCGCTCACTCGTATACCTACCTATATTTACCCCCTCGGTTATTTATATATATATATATATATATATATATATATATATATATATATATATATATATATATGGTACGGGTAATAAAGCTGTTGGTATATATTCCAAGTGGATCCTAATAATATAAAATATTAAAACTGATCCCCAAAAAGACCTC